TTTTCTTATGTGAAAAAATGAAATGGTTCATATTTTTTGCTTCAAATATTTATGACCTTTCATAAATAGATTCATAATGGTCCTCACTATTGTGAAAATTAGTAGCATGTTTTAATTGTCTTCTAACATATTTTAATATTTTAAAATTAATACCCTTTTCTTCCTGATGTGAAGTTTGGGTATTCAATGTTTATTACAGAATTTTTTTAGGTTTTTTTTTTTTTTTTTTCATGGGGAACCTTAAAAATCAGAATAAATTTCCAAATACACTGTTCCAAATTATTAAGATAATCTTGTGTTTAATTTTCACAAGTTTAAAAAATAAAAATTATTCCACATTCACTAGGTTATGGAACTTTATGCAAATTATATTAGAAATTGATCTGTTGCTGTTACAATCTTTGTTATAATGATGGATGTTAATTAATTGCATCCATTTAAAATACAGCAATCAAATACTTTTTTAAATAAGCTGTGTTGGATAATAATCAGCACAATAGAATGAGATCTGAGAAACAGTTAAGATACAAACTGGAATTAAGCTTTACAGTTGAAGTGATTTATAGCTCTGTGTCATCAATTTCCTGGTAGAGAAACTGTTAAAAGAACCAATAAAAAGAATGTCATATAAAAGTATATACACATATAAATTTGTATAAGTGTTGAGTTCTGAAAGGGAACAAAACTGATGACAGCATTTTATCAGCTGCATTTAAATACTGTAAGAATTTAAGGTAAAACATTTTTGACAGAAATAATATTTATATACAGAGTTAGGATAGTTTATTTAGGATAAAAAGGATTTTTACAGAGAAGCTATTGACTTTTACATCGTTAATGCCAACGAGCACAGCTTCACCACAACTATCACTACTAAATAATTTCAGATTTATTATATAACTGCTATACTATTGCCCACAGTTGCACATTCCTTTACTTGGAAAGCAAGCATAAATGTCCCCCCCCCGCCTCCTTTTTCTTCAGAGAAGGGGGGGAAAAAATCTGAAATGTTTCAGATTTTAAATTACGTCCAAAGAGGCGTTTTTTTAACGTTTTGAGTGTTACCTTTATTTATTAAATATCATGTTCTTTGCACTTAAACCATAAAATTCAGTTCAAGAGCAATATCGCAAAATAATGTTAAATTAAGCATATCTTTAGAATTTCCGATATACACAGTCTCGCGAGCTGGAGATAAAAGTATTTTTTTTCTATATAACGTTGCCATTTCTTCTCACTTTTTAAGCATTGAGTTTGTAAATCAAAAATTCGTTAAAGTTTTACAAAATATAAAATCTATAATAAAACAAATTCCAAATTTGGGATTTCAGATGCCCATATTCGCAGTAGGATTTCGTCATTCAAAATTCGATGGCTCTATGTACTATTGTTTTATCACAATGCGAGAAATAGACAATCATTTATGCAGATTTTTCATTATTTAATTTCTTCAAATATAATGCAGGACTCTAACATTTTGTGGCAACAGTTTGAAAAGTGAACCGACGTTTATGAGTCCGACGCAAAATCGCAAAACGAAAACAATAGTCCTTCAGGGACAAAGCCCCTTTGGACTAAAAAACCTTCATTATCATAAAATGAACAATTTTAATGAAGTTATTACAGTCAAAAGTCTTTAATCCGGACTCGTCGGGACTTCGGCTATTCCGGATTATCGATTTTTCCGGATTATAGATCATCAGTTTAAATCTGGTAAGATGGCATGCAGAAATTATAAAATTAAAAATATGAAATCATAATTTATAAAATAATGAGAAATTATGATCTAAAGGGTATCAAAATTTACAAAAAAAGAAGCTTAATATTTATTTGTTTACTTTATTAAACATTTCTTTCAACGCGCACATGCGTACCTTACGCATAGCCGAAATTAGAAAATTGCAACCAGAAAACTATTTGATTTGTATTCGTGATATTTATAATGACGAGGAATTTGATTTAAATCATATCAAAAACGGAGTACATCGAGATTAAATACTTACTACATTTAGTAAGGAATTATAAGCCGAATAAAATAAAAACATCTGCCCTGAAGATAACGATAGTGGTGACAGATCAACTTCCAGTTCATTGCGCGCCGCGACGTCCGCCCCCCCTCCCCCGCACAGAGCAGCGGGAAATTGATAAACAGATTTCGGAACGGTTAGATAAACAAAGGATATACCTTTATCCATTTTTTGTAGCAATTCGTTTTTTGTTTGATGGACATCGAATCATACTTTCGTTTTCTAGATCCTTTGGGAGCTCCAGCATCTTAAATTCTATTTGACATAATCGAAAGTTCAAGCTTACTTTTATAAAGGTGCTCTTACAGTCTGCAAAAAATAATAAGCGGGATCCAATTCGAAGATTAAGGAACAACGCAATCATGAACATTAACTGAAATAGATAATTAGATAATTTTAGCTTATACCGTCCGTTATACATTAAACGTGCATGCGAAAACGTATTCTGCGCTTTCGCAGACGCATATGCACAGTCGTAACTGTCTTGCGCGCACGCGTAAAACGCCTATGAGCATGCGTCAACGCGGCGCATGCACAGAAAGATTTTAGCTTTGAGGTCTGGATTATAGATCATTCCGGATTATGGGTGTCCGAATTAACGACTTTTGACTGTATTATCATGTGATAAGAAACAAGTCTAGTAACTGCCTTATTACTTTAAAATTGTAATAGGAATGACAATGTCCCACATAAAGACTAGATTAAAGTTCATGTACAGGGGACGAGAACTTTGAAGTTAATGCATAATTTTTTACGACCCGTGTTCTGCCTAATTCTCGGGAATAATGATCCAAACTTTACAATACTCTGGGAAAAAAGAGTTATACTAAATAAAAAACTCAAAAACATTTTGTTTCCATCTTAACAGAATAAGAGTATTATAAGCTATTGCAACTGACAACTACATATATCTCTATTTAACTAGTAAAAGAACTTACAAAACAGAACTTGGTAACAGAACTTAGTTGCATATTCATGATTAACTCAAATACAGTGCATATATTAGTAGGTAAATACAGTGCATATAAAAGTAGGCAAAAGAGTTACCATACCAGGCATTTCAGTTACGCAGAATGAAACTGGAGTTGAACTACTTTTGTTTCATGGCTTTAGACATTCAAGTACTGATCCAACCTTAAGAAAAGAAATCCAAGTTCCATCTGCATGCATCATTTGGTCAAAAATAATATTAATTTGTGGTTGCAATGTGCTCGACTTTATGGATGAACTTAGATTTAATATCCAGTATGCAAAAAGGTTAGTTTATGATGACCAAAAGAAGATGGACCTTTTTCAGATTCTTTCAAAATGCATATGAAATTTCTTTAAAATTAATACCTTTTTAAAATAGAATGTGGGACAATTTTAAAACTGATGTGTTTCACTACCTTTGTTATTTGGTAATGCAATTTAGAAGTTATTCATAACTCTTATGAAAAATTACTGTAGTAGAATGTTATAATGTGGATATTTAGTATGAATTCAGATACAAATTTTATTTCTGCATTTTTAGCTACATTAAAAATGATTTTCTGGTAACTTATTAAATTTAATTTATGCACAAGAATTAAGGCGCTCACAGCTTTCCTTGGTTCTATAAATCAAAATGTGCACTTTTTTTTTTTTTTTTTTTTTTGCATTTATTGCAAAAATGAAGCACATAGTGAAATTTTAACTTTATAACCTTTCCTGTGGGATCTCTTAGCCAGTGTTTAAAAAAGAAAAAGTTCCGAAGTTCCGAACACTTCTAAAAATGTGTAATGTGAAGAGAGATACTTCAAGGAGTTCTTAAAGTTTCAAGAAATTGCACTTATTTAAAAAACTGATCAGTGAAAGATAAATGTAAAGATATATATATTTTAAGATAAGATAAATATATTAAAAGTTTGATTCTAAAATAAATTTCAGTGGGCTAAATGATGAAAGTGATGAAACTAAGCTTCTAAGCGTTATATTTTGAAGATACCAAGGAGGAAAGAGATAGGTTTGAGATTACTAAAAATTATGACGATGACTATATTTTTAATGACCCTAAGTATTGTGGACTAAGAAAAATAATGATGCTATTCCCCTTGTCCAAGTTCTGATTCCCTGGCCACTAAGGATTTATATATTGTTTGCTCATAGTTTTCAATTTAGATTTCAGAACTAAGAGTAAAGCCATAGCTTTCCATGAAATTCTTTCTAATCTGATTTCTAATCTGAGAAAATTATGCCAAATCTGAAATATTTTCTGATTTATGCAAACATTTAAAACCTGTTTCTGATTTTGAAAAAAGTATAATTTATATGTATTATGATTTTTCAAAGTTGCTGTATTTTTTTATATAGTTTGGCAATGTGGAAGGTGCCTGGGTGCTTAGTGCAACCCTTCCTCCGTCTGTGTACCAATTTTTTTTTGTGTTTTACGTCTAACCTATGTCAGTATGAAATGAACAAAATAAATTATTTTTTCTGTTACAGTATTTTTTAATATTTATTGAAACAAATCTTAGTCCTTGTTCTAAAATTTCGAGGTACTCAAAAATTTCTCATGAGTTTTGGGAAATAGGTTTAATATTAATTCAGAAATTCATTAAAATCGGAAAAGCCAAATTGCTTAACAAAACAGAATCAGTATTTGATAGGGATGTGATGTTTTTTAAGCGGAATTATAATATCAGATGGCAGATTTTCAAGAATATTATAAATGTCACTTGTATCTGTACACTTTCTTATTATGTTTAGAAATATTTTGTTGTATATTTTTAATTTCTTTAATTGCTTGCTTTTAATCAATTTTATCATGAATGCTGCATAATTGCATGGGAATGCAGAGTTATTCCAAATGATTTTCTTATTTGAATGTAATTGTGTACATTATTACTTTTTTTTTAGTGTTATTGTTTTCAGTTAAAAATAAAAATCTGCTTGCAGTTATCTCTTGTATAAATATATTCTGAGTTAAATATTTATTTATGTATTTTATTTCAGAACTAATATCATGGATGGTACAACCTATGAAAGCCTTTGTCAATTAAATAATTCTCGTGTATCATTGTTACAATTCTCACCTAAAGGGACTTATTTGTCTACTTGGGAGCCATATTCAGGTATTTTTATCTTTCAGTATTTACTTTAATCACTTAACAAGAATATAAAGATCTACTTAAATAGGATCAATTTTCCTTAACCATGCATGAATGCTCCATAAAAATCTTCCAAAAGACACACCCTGAGCTTTTGGTGCCCAGTAATAAAACCTCTGTTGTCACACATTTGAGGCAACTAACTGTTAAAATCATTGTATGCAAGAGTGCAGTAGAATGATGCAAGTTAAATCTATGCTGACATTAGTGGTTTGGCTAAATTCGAAATGGACTGTAACTCTTAATTAAACTAATTAACAAACTAATCTGTATAATATCATTATCTTTATTTTACTAAATTTGTGAAAGAAACTCAGGATTCACTCACTCTCTGCTTCACCATTGAAGCAAACTCCAAAGAGTAAAAGTAATAACATTCTTTTGTAAACAGTAGGGATGGCAGCGCCATTTGGCTTCAAGGGGATTTAACACTCCCCCTGTATTAAAATCACAAAATTTCAAGAAATTATGCAAACATTCTTAAAACAAAATTAATATACTTATAAACAACATAATACTATTACTATAACTGCAGCTATTACAATACTAGAACAAAATGCAATACATATGCAAAATTATAATTTCAGTTTTCTACAGGAAGAACGACGATCGTTGTGATCGCTCTTTTTAATTCTCCTGATTTTAATAGTTCTTACTTTATTGTCTAACCTGACCTAAATCCATTTGCAGATTGGCAGATAGTTCTCGTTGACGAGTACCCATAGTACCAACAGAAATATTGTGTCCTTCTCTATCATCCACTTGTTTCTCTGCTGCAGAGTTCCTAAATAGTCATTCGACCATTTCTTCCAAATAATCTGAACTACTTTCGTTGTTCTCTGCCACCAGCTGAAACGATTTTCATTTACGCCTATTACCATTGGCTCCGGAATAGCCTGTATCGATCTCCCTATTAAGAAATGACCTGGGGTCAAAACATCGTAACAATCAAAATCATTGGAAATAGGTGTAAGAGGTCTCGAATTTAGTATTCCTTCTACCTGCACAATTATAGTTTCAAACTCCTTATATGTAAAACACAAATTTCTTATCGTTCTCTTTAAGTGATAATTTACGGACTTTACACCGGCTTCCCATAGCCCTCCGAATGAGGGGACTTGGGAGGTATAAAGTTTCAGTCTATTCTTTTGGACATGAAATATGAGGCCAAAGTTTTATCAGTAAAACTTATTACGTTGTAAAATTTCTTCTGCAGAGAATTTGCTCCTACAAAATTAGGGGCATTATCAGTGAATATTTTCGCACATTTGCCACGTCTGGCCATGAAACGCTTAAGAGTGGCAATTAAAGCACTAGAAGTTAAATCTGACAAAGGCTCAAGATGAATAGCTCGTGTCACAAAACATATACATACACAAATGTAAATTTTATTTAGCACGCCCTTTCTCTGATGCTTGTAAGTCACATAAAAGGGACCGCATAGATCCAAACCTGAAACACTAAATGGGGGTGATCTATTAACTCTCTCGTATGGCAAATTGCCCATAATCTGTGAAGACAAAATCGGTTTGCATTTAAAGCATGTCACACAAAGATGTACTGTTTTTCGCGCCAAATCTCTACCACCTAATGGCCAAAATTTTAAACGTACTGCATTCAATAATCTTCTGTGCACACTAGAAAAATAAATCTTACTTAGCTTAGAATTTTTTGGTAGGATTGCAGGATATTTCTGAGAAAATGGTAAAGAAGCTTTTTCAAGACGGCCACCAACGCGAATTATTCCTTTACGATCAACAAAGGGATGTAAATTTTTTTAAGTTACCTGTTATGTCCTTTTTTACAAAATAGAACCTTCTGCTCATGCTTAATAAGCATTTCCTCAGCTATTCTTACCTCCTCTAGTTGAAGAGGGCCTACCTTTCTTGATTCACCTTTCCTGCAATTACAAATAAACCTAAAAATATAAGAAAGAACATTAATTATTCTATAATAATTGTTACTAATATTCAAGAGTTCGTCTAAAACGTTAGAGTTCATGTCAATCAACATAGTTCTCTCAGAAATGTCATTAATGTCACTAGAACTTTTGCTTTCTTGCACAAAGGACTCCCTTTCATTTGGTGTTAGGTTCTCAACCTCTGGAACTATTGGTTGTAAGCACTTGTAGGGAAGATGCGGCTCTGTAAAAAATTCTGCACAAGTCCACCACTTAGAATTGTTCACTAGAGAAGAGGCACTAACTCCACGCGTTAGAAGATCGGCTGGATTGTCTTTGGTTGAACAATAAAACCATGAATCTGGATTAGTCAACTTCTGAATCTCGTCGACGCGATTTTGAACGAAAGACTTCCATCTTCCTGCTTGATCCTTTGATCCAATACAGTGTAACTTTAGAATCACTCCAAAAAAAGATATTAGATGAACCTTTACGATCTAGAAACTTTTTTAACTTCCGTTCCCAATCTTGCAGCAATCAGTGCACCCAGCAATTCAAGTCGAGGCAAGGAAACTTTTTTGACAGGTGAAACTCTGCTCTTGGAAGCCAGCAAATTCACAGAAATTTTTTCTTGATTCTGTACCTTTACGTAAACGGCTGCACCATACAACTTTTGACTTGCGTCAGAAAAAACATGGATCTCTATATTTTCATCACATGAATCCAAAGCAAATCTTGGAACACTAATGTTACTAAGTTCTGAAAGCTCGCTACACCACTGAGACCACTCGTCGTTCAAATCAGAAGGAAGCTCTTCATCCCATGGTAATTTACGTAACCATAGCTTTTGTAGTAAAAGTTTTATTCTAACAGTGAATGGTGTGATGAGTCCAAGAGGATCATATATTTTTCCAGCTGTTTGGAGGATGAAGCGTTTGGTACTTTTCTTTCTCCTCGAAATTTTCGTCAAACAAGAAGAAGTCTCTATACTCAAACTATCTTCCTGAATGTTCCATTGAAATTCCTAATACCTTCAGTGCATCTTTTCATTTGAGCTTAGGGATGAATATCAAAATTTTCTTCTTCCCATTTTTTAGCTAAATGATAATCATTCGTCACCCATTTGCGTAGATTCATCCCAGCTCCACGCATAATTTCCTTTGCTTCCCTTGAAGTTTTTAAGGCCTTCTGATACATCATCTGCTCCTGTAACAAGATCATCAACATACATACATGTATCAAGAATTTGAAAGGTATCGTAATTCTGGATATGCAGTTCTGTATACTTTGGATATGCAGCTTTATAGTTGCCGCTAACAAAAAGGGACTGGAATTAACACCAAAGAGCACACGCTTAAATCTATACACTTCTAGCTGATCGTCGGTATTCTGCAAAGGTGTATCAATATTCTTAACAAATAAAAAATCTAACTGCGTCTCGATCTTTCTCAGCTAACACGATCTGTAAAAATGCCTTTTCGATATCTCCTAAGATTGCAACTCTATTAAGTCTAAAATATATCAGCAAGTGAAATATATTTTGATTCAGATTAATACCTGGCCACAAACAATCATTCAGGGACAGACTACCTATTTCATGTGAGCTCGCATCAAATACAATACGCATTTTTGTTGTAATGCTTTCTTCTCTATAAACTGCCTGATGCGGCATATAAAAAACTGGCTTGTTTACTGGTTTCGTAGAATCTAATACTCTTTCTATTATCCCTTGATTTAGGTACTCTTCTAAAGTTTCTCTATATTTCAGGTATAATGTATTATCATGCTGCATTTTTCTCATCAGGATTTTTATTCTTTTTTCTGCGACACCAAAATTGTCGCCTAAATGTTCCCAACTTTTCTTCCAAGGCAGACTAACAATATAACGACCATCTTTGAAACTAACAGTTTTGTTGAATATCTCTAATGCTTTATCTTCATCGTAAGAATTGGGATCATCTCTGATACCAATTGATTCCAAATCAAAAAAAAACTTCTTCAACTGTGCTTCGACATTGTCATAAATTAACCCACAATGCATTAATTGTTTCTCATGTGGTAAATCTTCAATGCTACCGCTTACCAAATACCCAAATGCTGAGTTTTGTAACACTAAATTTGTATTTGGTACATAAATTTGCCCGGATCTTATCAAATCGAAAAAATATTTCAGATCCTAAAGTAACTGAATTTTACCCGGTTTGTGAAAGTCTGGATCAGCTAACGTAACTCCTTGTCGAATCTCAATATTACAGACATCAATTTGTACAGAAGACATCAAATGAGTAATTTTCGGAATTACGAAAAACTCCAGTTTACGACTGTGTGTGTTTTCCCTATTTAAAATAACCGCACTTATTTTTGATTTCACTGTTTTTGAAATTCCAGATCCCAGATAAACATCCTACTGATATGTTTACATTTTCTCTTTGCAAATGAAGCTTCTCATCTAATTCCGATGAACAAAGATGAATCATACTTCCACTGTCAAGCAAAGTTCTGGCTAGAAATATTTCTCCTTCATTTCCCTACGCGATTTCGCAACTGTCTCTATTTTGGGAAATTGAAACTCTTTCTCGCTCACAACACAGTAATGAAATGTGCTTTTTTCTGCATAGCCTACAAGAGTAATTTGAAAAGCAACTTCTCACTCCATGATTTCCAAAACAGCAGAAACATAAGTTGTGCTTTTTAACATAATCGACTCTATCTTTTAAGCTGAATTTTTGAAATTTAGGGCATTTAAATAATTTATGTTCCACATTACACAGTTTACAAATTAAAGCACGTTTCTTCAGTCACACATGAAACCATTGAAGAAACCTTTGATTGACTTACTGAAGCTTTTGATTTAGACATTACTGGAATTCTAGAAGCGTTTAATGTCCTCGCGTGATCCTTTAGAAATTCTAATAACTCTGTAATGTTCGGTATTTTTTCTTTCTTTAAATTCCTTTCCCACCATAACTTAGTATTCTGATCAAGTTTCTGGCTAAGAATAAAGGCAAATATAGCGGATGAAATCCCATATAACTTTTTTTCTAAACATTCTAACGATCTTACA